TGCAAAACCAGAGCATTTCAGATTGCTTGTTTTGTGGGGGTGGTACCCGCTCAGCCAGATCCCCTGGCTCCCTGTCTTAGCCCCCTCCCTTTCAGTTGAACAGGTGGCTCTGTCACCCAGGCATTCCGAGAGCCAGCCAAAAGCGCAGCCCAGACTTATGTGAGTTTCTGAGTGCCGACATGGCACCGGCTGAAACTGCCGTGCAGAAAACTCGTGGCGCTTTTTCAGCCCAGGAATCTCCTGGTCTGTGGGCAGTGAAAACTTGTTTGGAAATGCGGTGAGCACTCACCCTCTGCGCTGCTCTCACTGGGAACTGCACTCCACAGCTGTTCCTATTTGGCCATCTTGGATCCCTCCTGTTTTTTTTTTTAACCTGTATTGTGAGAATGTTAGACTTGGAGGCACCTAAGATCTTGCTCTAAGTTTCTACACCTGAAAATCTTTGAAAGAGATAAAAATTCCATATACTCCACTTCCTGTAACTCTGGCAGTTTCTAAATACTTTTACTCATGTGGAAATGCTATCATAACCAAGAGCGCCTTTAAAGCTAAGCTAAGGTTAGGCCGTTGATCTTTAGCACACTGCTTTTTCTGTTGTTTTATTCAGGGGGCTTTCTCAAAATTTATGTTCCCATTTTTTACATTTCACAACTTTCTTTGGAGCACAGCTATTTCAGGAAGATTTTAGAGTTTTTGAATAGCATTGTGGACATTTTTTTGCATTAATTTTTACTTTTACAAAATTACATCAAATATTATTTATGTTAATTACTGAGTTTTATGGGGGCCCTTAATTGGAACTCTAGGTGATTGCCTCATTTGCTTCACTCTGGTTCTGGTCCTGAGAGGGGAACACAGAAGGGATGGCTGGAAGAACGAGAACAAACGAGCCTCCCGGAATTTTGTCAAACAACAGGCCAATTAATTAAGGAAAGTAGATGTTACATAGCTAGGTACAATGAACGTGCAGTAAGTGGATTGTCTCAGTAATTTAGAGAGAAACCCCCCAATACAAGCATAGGTAGGTGGGGACAAAAGAGAGACAACAAAGTACTACAAGTAGAGCACTTCCTTTTTCTGATTTTGCCTCACGGAATTGAGTTCGTTCTTATACACAAGTCTAATGCCCCCTTCCTCTTCTGCAATGGACCAGGTGGTGTATGCTGATTTAAACGTACCCGGGGACTCAGGCCCAGAAAGTTCTTCACCTTCATCTCTTCCTCGGGGTAAGTGGCTTTACTTTTCCTTTTGACATTTGTATATCTTCCAAAATTAGATTTTTCTCTTACATTTATGGCTTTAAATCACTGCTTTAAAGATGATCAGCAGTTTTATATTAATAGGTGTTGTATGACTTGCCTGTAGGTAATGACAACTTTGAAAAATAATTGTAAGCCTCATACGTTTCTTTTTTTTTCCCATTGAGTTAGCATGAAAAGCAAACATCACTTCTCTTACTGAGTCTTGGTTAAAAGACTTGGAAGAAACAATAGTTTAGGCTACCCTGGGCACACTGCCTATGGGTTACCCTGCTCCGTAAGGATTAGTATTAGAAAAGAAAAAAAGAAAAGAAAAGAAGAAAGAAAAGAAAAGAAGGAAGGAAGGAAAGAAAGAAAGAGAAAGAAAGAAAGAGAGGAAGGGAGGGAGAGAGAGAGAAAGAAAGAAAGAAGGAAAGCAAGCAAGCAAGCAAGAAAGAAAGAAAAGAAGAAAGGAAGGGAGGGAGAGAGAGAAAGGAAGAGAGCGGGGAGGAGAGAGAGGAAAGAGAAAGAAAGGGAGGGAGGAAGGAAGGGAGAGAGAGAGGAAGAAAGAAAGAGAGAAATAAAGAAAGAAAGGAGAGGGAGGAAGGAAGGAATGAAGGGAGGAAAGAAAAAACATTTTACATGTATGAAATAAGGAATATTTAAGACACATTGCAAACTTGCTGTGATAGTGACCTACATTATTCTAAATTCCTCTACAAAATATCAACACTGTGATTAAGTCCCAGTGCATTTTCATCCATAATATTCCTTTCAGAATACAAAGTATAGTCCAGTTGCAGTGGCTCATGCCTGTAATCTCAGCACTTTGCTAGGCTGAGGCATGTGGTTCCCTTGAGTCCAGGAGTTCAAGACCAAACTGGGCAATGTGGCAAAACCTGCTCTCTACAAACAATGAGAAAAAAAAATAGCCAAGTGTGGTGGCACATGCCTGTGGTCCCAGCTACTTGGGAGGCTGAGATGGGAGGATTGCTTCAGCTCAAGAGATCAAGGCTGCAGTGAGCTGTAGCTGTGCCACTGCAGTCCAGCCTGGGTGACACAGCAAGGCTCTGTCTCAAAGTAGTAATAATAATCACGTAGGCTTAATGAGTAACATACTCTCTCAAGAGAGGAAAACTCTCTGGAAAAAAAAAACATATTAAAGATGAAAGATTTGAACATTATTACTGCCTGATAGTTTCTAGTTTAAAAAGTATCACAGCTTAGAAGGAGATAAGCCACAAGATACTCGAGCGTATCAGTAATGAGCCTACTTCCAATTTGTGGAAACTGGCACTTTCCTAGGTCTCTGAAGAGTTAGGATTCTGAGTGAAAGAAGCAGGAACACCAGTATGAGGTGATACATGATGGATAGCATGGCCTGGGGATGGATGAGCAGAGACTGGAAACTGAGGCAGAAAATAAGCATGAAATTATTATGACACATTATTCTTTTCTGACATCTAACTGAATTTACTGTCTTTGATAATAGTACAATCGTTTAACATTCCGATATTCATTCCATATCATGCCAAGCATGTGTCTTGTACTGTTTTAAGACTGTTTAAGTTTTAAACTATTGAATTCTCAAAGTTTTAGAGAATAAAGTCTTAAGAACCATCAATTAAGTTTCACTATAATCTTCATGTAAGCTTAGAGGAAATTGGAGTATTCTAATAACTATAAGGAGGATGTGGTTGAGCAAACATTTTTAAAGAAAAGAGTGTAAGTCTTTTCAACTCTCTTTAGATCTAGCAAAAGGTGGCGGGTGGGCATTGTCAGAAAATGAATATAGAGAAAAATAATGAGACTTTTCCTAAATGTTGCTATGATCTCAAACCAATGGATGCAGAAAATTTTTCTACTTGGATTGTAATAATTATCTTATAAAATGCCATTCTGAAAGTAAACTTTAAAAAAAAGTAGAAAAAAGCCAGAGCAAAAAACGTGACTATATAGAACACTGGTCTGATATTAAAGAATTGTAAAACCACGACGCGACTCCGTTAAACGGTGCAGGCTGCGGTCACTCTGTAGCTTGGTGATTGTATCTAAGGCAGTCAGCAGAACCAGAAAGAGACGTGTGAGTGATAACCGCCTATCTTGCTTTTGGCCAAATGGCCACAGGTTTGGTCTGTTAGAGGACTGGATAAGGTGTCTGCAAAAATGCCTCTAGAGTTTATTCATTCATTCAAAAATAAGCACCTACTCTGTGCCAGGCAGGCTGTGGATATAGCAGTGAACAAAATAGAAAAAATTCTTTTCCTTCATAGAGTTTATAGAACAATGGAGGCAAACAATCAACAAAATAAACAAATAACTGAGTTGGTGCAAAAGATGAGATGGTGTTAGTGTTATTGAGAAGAATTTGAAAATAGGATTTAGCTTTGGGGGAGGGTAGCATATCAAACAGAGTCATCCAGGAAGGCCTTCCTGAGAAGACGACTGGGTTCAAAACCTGACAGAAGTAAGGGACAAAGCCATAAGCTCCTGGGAGAGGCGCCTTCTAGGAAGGTGACCAACAAGTGCAAAAACCTCAAAATGAAAACATGCCTGTGACATTGCAGGAGGCGTATGCCTGCAAAGCGTGCGCATGGAGGCCACGGGGGAGGGGGCAGTGAAGCAGTGGGGGCCGGCTTGAATAGGGATGCACGAGCCATTCTACACACTCGGATTTGCCTGACGGAAAGCCATTGGAAGGTTTAGAACAGTGAACTGAGATGATTTAACATACTTTTAAAAACCCAAATGCAGAATTGCCCTGGGTAGGTATTTCTAGATAACTAATGTCAGCCTGACCTCTGTAGTGATTTATTATAACTTCATTAATTCTAATCTCATGCAGTGTCACAGAAACACGGTACAGGACTGCATTCCTCCTAGACAAAGAACACTCCACTCAATTCCTTAGATTTTAGCATCAATGAATAACAATTTTTAAAAGTCACCAAGTTGCCTTTTAACTATAGTTTAAAAAAGAAAAAAACTTTTTAGAAAAACAGAACTGCTGTTCATTGAACAGCTACCGTGTTCCAGACATGGTATCCAGCATTTACAAGAATTGTTTCATATAAGCCTCTCTAAAATATCACAACACAGATATTCCACATTTTACAGGTGAGGAAATCTGTGGATTATGAAGGTTGAACATGTTTTCCAAAATAGTATGTTGACACTCAGGTTTGCTAGTTTGGAAAGTTCTTAAGGTTGGACTTTAGTAATGAAAATTACTAAATCAATTTTAGTAATAGAATTAACTTAGCAATTAAAATAGTGACTATACAGAGCTTTCTTAACTTGGCAAACAGAGTTTCAAGGAAGAAAAGTGTGAGGAAGAGAAGACAGAAAGGTGAAATAATGTACGTATGTAAAACTGGAAGAAAAGACACCCCGGTGCTGTCTTGGGCTCATTGACTGCATTTAGCCATTGTTGTATCACACTAGCTCTCATTAGAAGTTCTAGGCCAATGCTACCAAGCTTGGTTTAGTCACATTCAGATGTATGCCTGGGACCTTGGAGTCTCTACTAGGTATTCACTCTTCCCTCCCAGCTCCACTGATGCAGCATGTCCTAAATAGACCAGATGATAATTCATGTGCCATGACCCCAACTCCAATGTATCATGTTTCCTCCCATAATCTTTGATCACGTCTAAATCTCCTCAGGGCTGTTTTAGAGAGAGCTAATTCACAGTGTCAGCATCCTAATGTGAGAGATTGTATTATCAGGTCGGCAAACTGGACTGCACAACTTAATCGTCAAGGGTAACGTACCAGAAAAAGCAGAAATGGCTTTTATAGCCATCCTGGAGCAAAGAAACAGATTCATTATATAGTAATTGATTTGATTACAGAGAAAAGCAGAGATATCTGACACTTTGTATATGCAATGTTGTAGACATAAGTGCATGTTACGTTATATTATAATATTGAAAATGATATGCGGTCGAAAAGCCTTCTTCCTTGAATGCCATACATTTGACCCACCTTGGTGATGATTGTTCTAGACAACAGAAAAGCAGAGGATTCCACGTTCAAGATCAGAATTTCTGTGTATCACCAGCACCTAACACGGTGCTTGGCAAAAAGTACAGCCTCAAAAAGTATCTCGACTAAATGAAGGTCTTCCTTCTGGGACAAAATGCTTTGACTTACTTCCTACATTAAGACATGTACTTCATTTTTGTATGGCACTTGACAATTTTCAAAACATCTCTCTCATTTAATTCTTATACCAATCCTTTGTATACACACATGCATAAGTGTTCCTATTTTATCAATGAGCAAACTCTGTTGGATCTGAGAGCCCATCTTGCAGGAGTGTCCTTTTAGAATGGCTGATAGAGGTTGTTTCCTGCTCCCAGCCCCCAAGCTGAATCTAATTGTCCCTATGTTATCTCAAGTACATTTTTGTGCCAGATGTACTCAACTGAGTTAACTGAGTTTTTGTTTTTAACTTCTCAGATGTCAGTCAGGGTTCACCTTGGCACCAATTTGCCCTGAAACTTGGCTGTGCTGGGATTATTCTTCTTGCCTTGGTTGTTACTGGGTTGAGTGTTTCAGGTAAGTGAGGTACCATCATTTGTTTCATGATACCTACTCCACTTCCATCATGTGTATTAGAGCATCTCCACAGAATTTGGTCACCTCAAACTTAGTGAAAGATCAATGAATAAAAAGTCATGAAAGAAGGCTTCGAACAGTCAGTCCGTATCCACTTCGGATACCAGCCTTTCATATTTGTCTTCTTAATTGCCCTGAGAGTCATCACGGGGTATTATACATGTGCTCCAAGAACGTTTTAGAAATATCACAAGTGTGACCAAAGATGATAACAAAGAAAAGAAAAGTTTCCAGTTATTTACGGTTCATCATGTGCCTACTACCATTCCAGATTGCAGCAGATAGTCCCTCTCCTGGAACAGGAACAATGAGACTCACTTTGAAGATGATCAAGTTTGGGTGACACTGTAGGCAATTTAAGAGCTTAAGTAATGCCCTTAGACTGACTTATCTAGTCAATCTAATGCCTGTGTGAGTCCACCTGTTTTGTTTTTTCTTATTTGTTTCTGTATGCTTCCTGTAGGTGAGATCTTTTTTTTTTTTTAACCACATTGCTATTATCTTTATCTTTTATCCATATTCAAGCTGGTTGAGATTATTTTGTTTCCCGAAGTGACAAATGTAATATATCCACCTTACCACGCATTTCAGCATTTAACCCTCTTAATAACGTTTCCTTATGTACTAGTGACATCGTTAATACGGAAATCATCAATAGAAAAATGCAGTGTGGACATTCAACAGAACATGAGTAAAACAACAGGTAATTGTGTGGTTTGAATTTCCTAAGAATAACAATTAATATTTGGTAGATATCAAGTGTTACCATAGGTACAATTCACAACAGTCCATATGTTAAGTTATTCTTATCATTCTGCTTTTCTGTGTTAGAAAACTGAGGCATAAAAACACTCAACAATTTGCTGAGGGTCACATAAGCACCAAGTGATGAGGCTGGGAATTATATGTAAGTGGTCTGATTTCTGAGCCTAAGGTCTTAACCGGCAGGGCATGCTGCCTCATGAGGAGCTCTGCTGGGATATTCCATTGTTGATAGGAAAATATGTGAAATATTTGATTATTTTAGTGAGCTATTAAGTTTGGTCTGAAGTTAAATGATAGAACTCAAAACATAGAGTGAATTCTTTACTGTTACATTTCCTCATCATGTGGCCACATTAGTCTTGTTCCAGTGTGTATTAATAAAAACACAGGTGACTGTTGAGTGACTGTAGTGGAATGTGAGCTGTGTGCACATTCTCACAGAAGTTTTAAGAAACCCTGAAAGTCCTTCTGGAAAATTCTATCCAACAGATCACATTAGGTAGGTAAATACATCATTTAGCAATTAGAAATGTTCTTATCTCTCATGAATTTAGTGAAAATTATTATGAGTTGCTGTGCATTCTGTGCATCATTTAAAGTCAGCACTTTTTACATTAGTTTTATACTGTTGCCTATGTAGTGGAATAGGCACTGGTGATGAGTTTAGAACAGTCCATCTGACGGGATGGAGTTGAACAAGTTATTCTGTCTCTCACTGTCTTAAAATGTAAGATGTGGCAGCATAAATTATTCTGATGGTATCTTCCTAGTTTAATATTTTATGATTCCATTTATGCTCAAGATAACTGGTCACTAATTCCCAAGTCTTGATACCAGAATGAACAGTAGATCTCAAAAACCTCAACTTTATAACAAATTCATTGTTCTCACAGTGATAATCAAAGACTTTGAGCATTTTTTTTGGTTGGGGGGGGATGGAGTCTCAATCTGTTGCCCAGGCTGGAGTGCAGTGGCACGATCTTGGCTCACTGCAACCTTCACCTCCCAGGTTCAAGCGATTCTCTTGCCTCAGCCTCCCGGGTAGCTGGAATTATAGACACCAGCCACCACATCCAGCTCATTTTTGTTTTCAGTTGAGATGGGGTTTTACTGTGTTGGCCAGGCTGGGACTTTGAGCATTTATAATGACGTGTGTATGATTGGTTGTGGTTTGTCAGAGACAGGTTAGAAATATAACATTTATTTCTTATTTCTGTTTTTTACTTTAGAGAGACTGAGTCTCTTAAACTGCCCAATATCTTGGGAGAAAGTCAGAGAGAAATGTTTGTTACTTTCTCACACTGTCAGCCCTTGGAATAACAGTCTAGCTGACTGTTCCACAAAAGAATCCCGTTTGCTGCTTATTCAAGATAAGGAAGAATTGGTAAATCATGAAACAAAATACCTTAATAAAACTTAGCACTTTCTTTAAACCATACTAATAGGTCTGTGCCTTAGCCCAGAGGTTTTATGCAATGGAAGTGAAGACTCTGACTTCCCAATTTGAATGACTAAATGGACATGTAAGCAAATAATTGAATGTAAGGTGATGAATACAGTAATATAAATAAAAATATAGAGAGAAAGATCACAAAGAAGAAATAATGCTGACGAGTTAGGAAAGACTTCAGAGATGGGGTGATGCTCGAACTAGGTTTTAGGGGATCAAACTAGGAATAGATAAGCAGACTTCATATTCTTCTATTCCATTTGTAGAGACTCACACAGAAGCTGATACATGACAAAGCAGTTCCATTTTGGATTGGATTAAAGTTTTCATTACCAGAGAAGAAATGGAAGTGGATAAATGACTCTTTTTTAAATTCTGATCAGTGAGTATTAGATGAACTCATTTTAATATTCAATTTATATCAGGTTTACACTGCAAGGTGGTAACACTGAAGATTGAGTTTTGTAGTTTTAATTTGGTTTAACAACTCTCCAGAGGTTCAGAATAGGGTAAGAAGGTGGATGACTTCAAAGTTGTTTGGAAATTTCTATAGATGAAAAGATATCAGCTCTTTATAAGAAAATACATTTTTATCTGCAATGGAGTTTTAGGGGACATGAAACAGACTAATTTATTTGGAAGGGGCACATTAAATTAAAAATAATGTCCACCTGGAGGCCATTGGCACACAGAATGTCGTAAGTAGTGTTTTTCAAACTGTGGGAAAATAGACCTTAGTGGGTAATAAGACCAATGTAGTGGGTCACCGCTGACATTAAAAGAAAGAAAAGATAGTAAATATCAGAGTGCAGACCCGGACACCCACACTGTGACAAATACTGCAGTACATTTGAACCACTGCTGTGAAAGGGAGAGGTGTTTGAGAGGATGTGACAAAAATATGTATAAGCCACAAAAGAGCTACTTGCTGTTTTCTCTTCAATGTCACATTCTTTTTTCTTGTGTAAGACAGTCAAAATAACCATCACTGTAGCTTGAGGGTTGATGCAACACAAGTAAATTCCATATTTTAGCAGAATTTGTGGTTAATTTTGCAGAAAAGGGCAAGGTATTTTCTTTCCTCACAAGCAAAAGTATGTAGGCTTTCAACCATATTTCTGTAAAGAACTTTTAATTTTTCAAAAAAGATAATACAGAGAGTTGTATTTAATGAGTCTATAAATGATTTAGTCAAATTGGAAGCATTTACACTTAAAATGTATTTTCTGCCAGTCAAAAAACGAGGTTAAAACATAAAACATAAAATGTTTATCTAAAGTATACTAATAATTTATGAAGTATGTAAAGTATTAAACACTGAAAGAAATGTTGGCTGAATTAGCAAATTTTGCCATTATATGAGCCACATTCCAAATACTTTATAAAGCGTAAGATTTTAAAATAAAGATTTTTTTTTTTTTAGACGAAATCTCACTCTGTCACCAGGCTGGAGTGCAGTGGCACGATCTCAGCTCACTGCAACCTTCACCTCCTGGGTTCAAGTGATTCTCCTGCCTCAGCCACCGAAGTAGCCAGGACTACAGGCATGCACCACCACACCCCCAGTTAATTTTTTGTATTTTTAGCAGAGACAGGGTTTCATCATGTTGGCCAGGATGGTTTCAATCTCTTGACCTTGTGATCCGCCTGCATTGGCCTCCCAAAGTGCAGGAAGTGAAAGAGGTGTAAGCCACCATGCCCAGCCTAAGATGATTTAAAAATAAATGTTGTGGACTAGAATAAATTTATGAAAAGCCAAACATACACATTCTATTTAAAACCATCTCTCTTGATTTTTATATTGCTTTCTGGGGGTTATTTTCTATATTTTATTTACAAATAAATGAAAGTCTATTTGCTATTAATTTATTTTTATCTTTTCACACATGGTTTATCATTTATTAAATATAGTTTGTATGTGTTTCTTAATGGGGTCATAATGCAAAATGTTTATTTTATTGTGGTTCACAGTAAAATATAAAATTTGAAAACACTGAATCATAGTATAATATAAAATATATAATGTTTGAAAACACTGAAATGTGAACATACATATGAAAGTGGATGAAGTAAATTCAGTTGAACCTCTCATTTTATTCTGAAGACAACAGTGGTCAGGTAAACCTGGAAGGCATCATGTTATAGTGGCAAGAGCACCGGTTAGACTCTGCTTTGGTTTGCACTCCCTGAGCCCTGATTTTCAGGAACGAAAAGAAAGGAGAGAATAATAGTATTTTTACAGGACTATTGTGGGGGCTACAGGAGACCATGTTGGAGAGCTGGGCAGATGTCTCATCAAGGAAGGCCTGCAAAACCAGAGGGCCTTTCGGAAAAGGAATTGTTGACTTGGCTAGATTGGCATTTAAAAAATTACCCTGACACTTGAAGAAAGAATTAAAAGGGTGGAAGAGATAAAATGTAAGGAACTTCTGCAATAGCCCAGTTGAAAGAAGTTCTTGGTTTGACCAGAAGGTTGGGCAGTAGGAAGAATCAGATAAGCAGCCCCAAGACGCTGCATGAAGACATTGAACAAAGGACTAAAAACAGCTGTGACGGAGCGCTGCACGCTGCCACCACCTCATCCGCTTGGGACAGATGGGAGAGTCTTGAATTCACGCCATCTTTGCAACGTAGTCCTAATACAGCCTGTCCATTGTTTGAATTACATTGCCACCTACCACCTGCAGTGAGCCGCGGGACTCATGCTTGTTTGAAACTAATATTATGCTGCAGCAGACACCCATTGACCTCTGTTTGGGATGAGAATGGAAGGAACCTCTGACTACATGACTATGAACTGAGCCACTTTTTCTGACTGCTTCCAAATTCTATAGACCCTGAATATCCATCATGCCTTTAGATATTTATCATATTTACTGAGCACATACTTTTGAAGCATTGCCACATTTTCATATTTCATCTCCATGCCTCTCCTAAATATTAGTTGGTTATAGTCTAAATATTTTAAAAACTGTGGCTCAGTGAAGTTAAGAGATTTTTTTATTGCATTTTAGGTTTTGGGGTACATGTGAAGAACATGCAAGATTGTTGCATAGGTACACACATGGCAGCGTGATTTGCTGCCTTCCTCCCCTTCACCTATATCTGGCATTTCTCCCCATGCTATCTCTCCCCAACTCCCCACCCACCCCGGCTGTCCCTCCCCTATTTTGCCCCAACAGACCCCAGTGTGTAATGCTCCCCTCCCTGTGTCCCTGTGTTCTCATTGTTCAACACCTGCCTATGAGTCAGATCATGCGGTATTTGATTTTCTGTTCTTGTGTCAGTTAGTTGAGAATGATGGTTTCCAGGTTCATCCATGTCCCTACAAAGGACACGAACTCATCATTTTTGATGGCTGCATAATATCCATGGTATGTGGCAATTCCTCAAGGACCTAGAAATAGAAATTCCATTTGATCCAGAAATCCCATTACTGGGTATATATCCAAAGGATTATAAATCGTTCTACTATAAGGACACATGCACACGAATGTTCATTGCAGCACAGTTTACAATAGCAAAGACCTGGAAGAGATTTTTTTTAATGTGACCTGTTAGTAGTACACTAAGAAGACTGAATTCCCAGCTTCCAAACTTTCTTTCTTTTTTGATGTAATTGTGCAGGTTCTTGTTAAAGGATTCTTTTCCAATGAAGATAAACTTGAATGTTTCAGAGGTTTACATTAGCTCTATCTTACAAGTTCACGCCATTATATTTGTGACTGTGTACTTTCTCTGCTTAATAATTTATCATTCCACTGCTTCCTGAGAGTCCTAGGAAACAATGACTATGTGACTAGCTATGAGAAAATCCTAAACACTAAGGCAGACTTTTCTTTTGCTCCACAGATTAAAAATTACAGGTGACACTAAAGAAAACAGCTGTGTTTACATTTCACAGACATCTGTGTTTTCTGAGGACTGTAGTACAGAAATCAAATGGATCTGCCAGAAAGAACTAACACCTGTGAGAAATGAAGTGTATCCTGACGCCTGACTATGAATCCCATCTCAATTTATTTGCTTCCCATTACTGATCTCTGTACTTTTAACTGCATATACTATTGGTATCACCTAATGTTCATTTAGTGACACAAAATGAACAAATTCTGAGAATCGTACAACTGTTATGAATGTTAGAGAAGTTCATGTTTATCATATTCATTCTATAAAATGAGGAAACAGAGACATAGAGGAAACATGTATCATTTTAAAGAAACAGTGTTATTCTATGGTGAAGGAATAAAGGATGTCCCGCAATATGCCAGATTGATATATTGATTATTTTGTGTTTAAAACAGTGGAGAAATTGTAGATTCAGAAAGAGACAGCTGACCTGTCTCTTCCTGCATGCAGCAAGCCATAAAGATTCCTCTGGGAGGGTTACCCTCATCATACAAGGGCAAGAAAATAGCCCTTATTGCCAGAGACCTGGAATTGGACTTTGCAATGAACCTGAATAAATATACTTAATAAAGAAACACTTATCTTTCACCTATTTTACAGCTCCCCACAACCAATATATCTCCTAGTGACTCCTCTAGAAAATGTATTGCCCCTAGCCAGCTTTTCTTTGTCCTGTCATTTTTTTTTCAAATTTATCATTCTTGATCTAAAGAGCACAAAAGCATCTTGCTTAGGCCAGTTTGGATTTCACACTCTCGTGAGTGCCTCATGTACATGCGAAATGAATAAAATGTATATACTTTTATTTTGTTCATCTGCCCAGCACCACTTTAATTTCTAGATCCAGCAGAAGAGCCCGCTACGAGCTAAAAAGGGGGTTTGGAGGTGATTTCTGGCTCCCCTACAGTGAAAGAAGCCCAGACCTGATGAAGGCAATTAGATTCTAATCCTGACTTGTATGTGTGCCCTTCATCGATCCCTTCCTGTCAAGGCTCATCTCCTGGAAAGTTTTAGCAAAAACTGCTAAATCCCTATGTATCTATCATAGTCTATCGCTTTTTGAACCACCACACAATTGAGTTGTGCCAAAACATTGATTAAAGTCCATTCTTAACCCTGACATGAGAGACCCATAATTAAAGGAGTTTGGGGAAGGACCTTCACTCTTCCTGCCATTCCCCAGTTTTTCCCATTTTGATTTTCTTATTACACATTTTTCTTTCATGTCTCGTTCTATCTACGGCTCACACAAACAAGCTGGGGGAAATGTATAATTAAATCTTTATTCTGTGGAAAGTAAGTTTTACCTTTTAACTCTGAAGTTAAAGTTAAAAAACAGAAGTACAATTTTGCATGTTCTTCACATGTACCCCAAAACCTAAAATGCAATAAAATAAATAAATGGGAATAAATAAATAAATAAATAAAATTAAAAAAAAATTCTGAATAAAACTACAGTATACATAGTAAAAAAAAACAAACAGAAGTACTTATTATTAATAGATCTCTTGAATGTCCACCTTTCTTTAAAATATGCCAAATTATCCATGGAAATCAAATAAATAAAAATCGTGAATTTACCTGATAGGAAGACTTACCATAACAAAATTCTGAACAATAGACATCTGCTTACCCTAATAATTCATCACCAAATTGAATTATATAAATTCAAGTTCATATGATAGTGGCTGAAATCATGGCTCAATTCCTGCATCTCATACATGAGGATTTATAACATTTGTTAATAACTTTTGAAGAGATCAAAAATGAAAGTAAAATTTACTTTATACCAATTACTTAGAAAATAGATTACTTAGGAAAACATTTAGACTGGTTGTTTAGCCAGTCTTTCCAGTCCACTTATGTTTAGGTAGGCACCAATCAATTCTACCCTTCATAACGCCGAAACGAATTTAAAAAAGCAACTTTTGCTTTCCATACCAAGCAGCTTGGAAAAGCGAAAATTTGAGAAGTACAAATTTTAAAAAATTCTAAAAATAATTTTGAATTTTAAACACCTATAGAGTAATGAAGCACTAACTGACCTTAGTCTGGTGGAGATAGACTTTGCTCTCCTCCTTGGCAGCAATTCAAGTTTACTTCCGCAG